TCGGCCAGGACACCGACGCAGGCAGCAAAAACTCTAGACGCGTTTTGAGCTCCAGTCGCTAAACAGGACTTGAACCGAGCGAGTGACCCCACCAATGGATTCCGCGTTCGGAGAGCAAACTACTGGTGAGGTCACACGTTTAGTTTGAGTCCCATTTGGCGGCTGTGGAGATCAACCCGTGCGGGGTTTAGACCGCCTCCACCGGCCTTATGGCCCACTGCCGCCGTCCCAGCCAAACAGACTCCACCGACGATGGCCATGGCCATGCGGCCGCAGGGAGAGCCACGCCACCCCGACGCCCCACTGCGAATTTTCCCCCTCCCCTCTGCCCCGATGTCTCCCAGCCACGCGTGGCGCTCGCATCCAGCGGGCATCCAACCGTGAGAACGAAAATCCATGCGGGGGCCGCGAAGGCGAAGCGCCGCGAAGACTCACCTGCGAGATGGCGCTCCGAGTGCGACCGTGGCTTCCGGAAGATCTGAGGGAAAGAGAAATCAAAGTTAGGAAAGCAGGTTTCGCGGGGATCGTGTAAGCACCATCTTTGACGCTCAGATCCAAAATGGTCCGTTATGTAAAGTTCAAGTATACATGGAGCAGTGTGAAATATGACGTCATATGACCTGAATATGATGTCGCAATCATCAGAATGTCAATTTTGTCACGTTTGATTGAATAGGATGTCATAATAGTTTGAACGTGACATTCAAACGAATGTGACATCGTGACAAAATACACATACTAGCGAGTGTGACGTCACATTCACTTAATAACAGTGTATAAGCCATGATAGAGGCTCCGGCGTCAGAAATCACGGCACCATTCTATTTCGAGAACGGCACGCTCCATGGCGCACCAGTGCCGACTCGGTTCCAACTCACCCTCCTGTCGTCCGCGGCACGGCCCCGCAGCCCGACGCCGCCGCCCTGCCCGGCCGCGCCCTCGGCGTCCAGGGGCTTGACCAGGAGCGGCGCCGACGAGGACTTGGAGCCCAGCTCGGAGGGCAGCGGCGCGGACAGGCGCAGCGAGACGGTGGACGGACTCTGCGCCGTCAGGCAGTCCGCCCCGGGCCCACGCGACACCAGCGCCGAGAGCGGCAGGTCCTGCAACCACACCACCCGACGACTCAATGTTCAGCACGGGGCGGTACAGCTTACACTGTAAAAAATTCCGTACTTTTGTACGGAAATGGTACAGAAAAATATAGTACGGAGGTACGGAGAAAAGTACGGAACGTTCCGTACTTGCTCCATATGAACCCATGTAAATAGGTACGGAAAAAAAGTACGGAACGTTCCGTGTAGCTGGCAAGTACGGACGGTCCAGGCAAATTATTGACCAGACATGTTCCGCCAGACATGTTCCGTACTTTTTCCGTACTTTTTTCTGACAGTGTTCCCACATTCATTGTACGAAATTTGACAACATTCCACATTTAGGTGGCAAAAACGCCTGTAAGTAGGCAACAAGTGTGGCGAAAAAACCAGGAATCTCGCACATTCACACAATCACTGTACGGAAAATTTTACAGCGGGTCACCCCTCGGTTCAGCACCGTTATTCAAACAGTGTGACGTCATTATTCGATAGGAGATGTGAATTTTGTCACGGTCGTTTGAACACGATGTCACAACCGCTTAAACGTGACACTGCCGTCAAAGTCGGGTGTCTCATTGGTTTGACGATCCATCAACATTCAAACGATTGTGACGTCATATTGCAACGAACGTGACAAACCCACTTTCCAACTAATATTAGGTCACATTCGTCCAATAACAGTGCAGGGAGAGACAAGACACACTGGTAGGAATACTGAAAACTTCCCCATGTGTTTAGATAGGGGAAATCTTGGCGGATGAGCCTGTTACGCTTGATTTCAAGCGTAAACTGATTACGCTTGAAAACAGAGGAAAACAGGTAAAACACTCGCGCAATACCCTGTACACAAAAACCGTGTATTACGCGTAATATACGTAATTGTAATACCACTTTTGGGCCAAAAATGCCAAATTTTGGCATTTTAATGCCGTAATACACGTGTAATATCCCCGTAATACAGCGTAATACTACCGAGTGCTTTGTACACGATTTCGTGGAGTGTTTACCCCCTCGGTAAAACTACGCTTTAGCTTTAGCAGTGCACCCACCTGCGGCCGCTGGGGGCGAGGCTGCGGCAGCGAGGTGACGGACAGCGCCGACCCGGTGTCGGCCGACTCGTCGACGCCGCTGGACGAGTCCACGGTCTGGTTGTCCGAGTCCGCGGCGTCGGCCGCCTCCTCGCCGAGCGTGGCGGCCGTGGACGAGGCCCTGTCGTTGTCCGAGTCCGGCGTGGGCGCCGAGGCCGCGGTGACGCCGTGGTCGGCGACGGCCGCGCCCGGCGACGAGGTCTGCGTCTCCACCGACTCTCGCCGCACCCAGGCGTCGCACCGCCGCTCGCTGCCCGGGGACGTGTCCTGGCCCGGCGTCTGGCCCGGCGTCTGGCCCGGCGTCGAGCCCCAGTGCAGGCGCTCCCAGGTGTCCTTGTTGCGCCGCACGCTGGACCGCAGGTCTGTGGAACAAGAAGCACTCTATCAGCCAGCACATTCGAGCACCAAAACGCCGCCAATGGAAGGGATCGAAAAAACGGGCTACTGCAACACTCGCTACTGCTTTGATACGTCTGTTTTCTACCATCAATGGCTGCCATTAATTGACCGCGATCGAAAGCTAGCTGATCTGATAAAAAGCTGAAATTCACGACGGATTAGAATGGGGATATTCCGCGGCGAATCGGTTCGAGAAAGAGTTAACCCGGACTTGTCCGAGACCCCTGCCGAGCCATTTCTTTTGATTCTTACGCACTTAAAACCTTGCAAAGAATTTCGAAGCTTGTACCTAGAAGATTTCAGTTTATTACACGAAGAAGTAGTTCGTAAATTAGGAAGTCTCTGTAAGCTTACGTATGCTCAAAATACATTTTCATACCAAGCTACTTTTGTGGTTGGCCTAAAATAGTTTCAGAGTGAACAATAAAAACCCGAGAAGGGTTCGTACTCTAGAGAAGTCTCGCTTCTTAATGTTTGTGCCGCGTTCACTGAAACATAACTCCAATCTCATGGTAATGGATTCAGAGGGTCCAAGGATGTACAAAAGATTTCTAGCGGTGGGTGTCTCGATACGCGTGGTGCCCGCCGGGGAAGCTGGTTCCACGCAGCGACGGTAGCGCCCGGCCATGCCGTGCCACCTGTTCGTTCGCCCGCCCTGCCTCGCCCAGCACGGCAACGTGGTCCAGAAGACTGACGCCGGTGGCCAAAACTGTAGACGCGTTTTTGAGCTCCAGAGTCGCTAAACAGGACTCAAAGCGAGCGCGTGACCCCACCATTGCACTCCTCGTTCGGAGAGCAATCCGTTGGTGGGGTCACACGTTCGATTCGAGTCATACTTAGCTACGCTGACGCTCAACACGCTTCCGGGATTTTGACCACCTCCACCGCTCTTCTGGCCCACTGTGCACCGCCTCGCCCGGCCTCGCCCCCACCCCGGCCCGCGGAGCTGCTCCATGCTGCGAGGTTAAAATAGCCCGCGGCAAACTCCAAGCCGAGCGGGGAGTGGCGTGGGACGCCGTGGGACGGCGCGGCGACCGTAGCGACAGGTTGTCGGCAAAGCGGCGCTGAGCGGCGCGGGGCGCCTGGAGTGGAGATGAAAGCTTCTCAGGTGGCGGGCGAAATCAACGGAGAGTATATAGCGGCGGGGCCGCGGCGCTGCTGCAGCTCGCACCTCTGGTTGGCAGCTCTGATCGGAATAGCGCGCACGGGTTGCTGGAAAACGTTCGGGGTAGCCGGAGCGTTGCAGCTGGGGCGTGGATGGAGCGTGGCCGGAGCATGCCTGGAGTGTGGCTAGAGCGTGCCTGGAGCGTGGCTGGAGCGTGCCTGGAGTGTGGCTGGAGCGTGGCTGCACTTGTCTTACGGCGAAATTTCCCACTTTACAACAGAAATTACTCTCTACAGGAGCGGTTACTCTTCGCAATACGCAATTTTTCTTCGAAGATTACAAAGAAAAATACAAAAAGGTTCGTCTAACGGAATTTTGATTTGTCTATTTATAACGCCAAATTCACCTAACAGCTTAAACTTTATTGTAGGGGATTAAGTGTGGAATGTAGCGGGTCGGAGCGATGCTGGAGCGCGTCCCTGGAGCGAGGTAAGGCTGGAGCGTGCCTGGAGCGTGCCTGGAGCCTGCCTGGAGCCTGCCTGGAGCGTGCCTGGAGCGTGCCTGGAGCCTGCCTGGAGCCTGCCTGGAGCCTGCCTGGAGCGTGCCTGGAGCGTGCCTGGAGCCTGCCTGGAGCGTGCCTGGAGCGTGCCTGGAGCGTGCCTGGAGCGTGCCTGGAGCCGCCTGAGCGTGCCTGGAGCGTGCCTGGAGCGTGCCTGGAGCGTGCCTGGAGCGTGCCTGGAGCGTGCCTGGAGCCTGCCTGGAGCGTGCCTGGAGCGTGCCTGGAGCGTGCCTGGAGCGTGCCTGGAGCGTGCCTGGAGCCTGCCTGGAGCCTGCCTGGAGCACGGCGAAACTATGGAGCAGCTGTCGAGGAGTGTTGGCCGGCAAGTTATTCGCCATGAACAGCCCGGCACAGCGTGGCACACTGTGGCACAGTCCAGGCAGCGCAGCCCGGGCCGGGCCGAGGCCGGGGCAATCCAGCTCTCTACAGTTCGACACAAGAGCGGCGGCCGGGCCGAGCCGGGCCAGTCAGGGTGTTTCTGGGCTGCAGGGCTGCGCCGGGCGGGGCTCAAGGCCACGCACAACACCCACGAGGGGGAGGGCCGCCGGGGAGGGGAGGGGGGGGGCAACTTTGACGCGACAGCTAGAAGCAGTAGTTTCGGCCAAACATTGAAAGTGGACCAAAGTTTGGCCTTTCTTCTCGGCGGCGAGGCTGGGCTAGACGCGGCTAGACGCGGCTAGACGCGGAATAACCGGTTGCCTTACGTCGCCGACAAATTTGGCGCCATAGAGTCGCAATAAAGCGGCCTTGTCCGCAGCGGAGGGCGAGGCCACGGCGAGGCCACGCAAAGACGCGTGCCCTTGCACAGTGGGCCAGAAGACCTGTGGAGGCGGCCAAAATTCTAGACGCGTTTCCAGCTCCAGAGTCGCTAAATATGACCCGAACCCATCGTGTGACCCCACCAATGGATTGCTCTCCGAACGAAGAATCCATTGGTGGGGTCACACGCTCGGTTCGAGTCCCATTTAGCGACTCTGGAGCTGGAAACGCGTCTAGAGTTTTGGCCGCCTCCACCGGTCTTCTGGCCCACTGTGTGTTCTCTACGTACTCGTGGTGTGGTTGCAGGACCTGCCGCTCTCTCATGTAACCCCGCCAATGGATTCCCCGTTCGGAGAGCAGTCCATAGGTGGGGTCATACGTTCAGTTCGAGTCATGTTTAGCGACTCAGGGGCTCACAGCGCGTCTTGAGCTTAGGCCGCCTCCGCCGGCCCTCTGGCCCACTGTCGAGGGGTACCTCACTTCGTCTAGTCAGTGTACACCCCTGACTCCAGTCACTGCCTCGTTTCAGTCTAGTCACTTAAAAAGCCGGCAAAACCACGTGAATTTGTCCTAATTGTAGTATTTTTGCAACGCATTTCGTGATATTTTCAATCTAGTCAAAGTAGAAATTGAGTATAGTCTCCAGTCAGTGTACACCTATTTTCGAGGTGAGGTACCCCTCCCCACTGTGCCTTGGCAACCTGAAGGCGGCACAGCAAGCTTCTCGCAGTGTGTAGCCGCGACACCCCAGCGCGCGAACGTGAAGGGAACCAGCCGCCCACGCAGGCACGCCTGCCGCCTCGCCGGAGGGTCGCTTTGCCTCTCGCGCCTCCACGGAACGCCCCATGAGTGCGAGAGAGACAGAGCGGCGGGGCAATCGCTCGGAACACGACGACAGCGTCCCCCGCGTTCCCACCGCACCGCGTGGACGTACACTGGAAGCCCGAAATACCGCGGCGACCGCCCTCCGGGCCCGGCTACCCCGAGTCACTCCGGACCGCAGTCTAGCCAGCAGCGGCAGGCAGCAGACTGACTCCAGGTGCCGTTTGCGTCGCTCTGTCTCTCTCGCACTCATGGGGCGTCCCGTGCAGGTGCGAGAGAGACAGCGATGACAACGACATTTCGAATGAGGTTGCAGCGGATAAGCAGGGCGGGCGGTGGGCAGCGGAACATCCAAGCTCCCTGACCGGGTCCCTGACCATGGCGGACCATGGCCACCATGATCCCCGAGACCGTGGCTTCGTGGTGGTTCGTGGTGGGCCTGGGTCCGCGTCCCTAGCCCGCGTCCCTGGAGTCCGCGTTCCTGGAACCCTGTCTCTGCCAGCGCCCCGAGCCAGGGCCGTCCAACGAACCACGAAATGAAGGGCCAAAGCCCGGGCCCGCCTCGTTCGACCCCGAAACGCGATATTCCCTGAGATGTTCAACTCATTATTCTGGCATTGGGACACGCATGACAGCAGCCCCCGCCTGGCCGGGCCGCCCTTCGAGGAAAGTGCGTCGTCGCCAAGGGACTGACTCCGAAGCGAGTCCTTGCGTCACTGTAAAAAAATTTGTCACTTTCTGACGGAAACTGCGGAAAGACCATAGTCGGAATACATGACAAAGTCACGAGAACCGTTACTTGTTCAAAATCCCATACTTATCCATCGGGCGGAAACAATGGAATCGGAATTTCCTATTGGCAAGACATCGCTCGGTCAGGAAAATAATTGAAAGTTATCAAGTTACGACTTTTTTTCACAGTGTGTCGCGCTGTTCTTCTCGCACCCACACGGCACGCCCCACGAGTGCGACAGAGACAGCGACACTGTTCGAAATCGCTCGGCGGCCTTTCGCGCCCCGTCCAGGTGGAGCGAGTAAACAAACACGCGTGTCGCACAACAGAGACGACGCAATTTTCATTTTCCCTGACGGCAACTGGGAAAACCCGACCGAGCCAGCGCGCTAGCTGACTCCAAAGTTCCGACGAAGAAAGGCCGTTTTAAGCCAAGGGGAAATCACTGTGAATTTCGATGTACAAATCCAATGAACTTCAGTCAAATTTCGAGGGATTTCAGCGAGGGGGAAAGCACTCGCGTAATAGTCGGGTCACTCTGTCCGTAATAGCACGCGTAATAGTGTGCGTAATAGTAGCGTAATAGCTGAAATTCTCAAAATTTGATCTATTTTAGGGTTTTTTTGGTCTGTTTTCAGCTAAATCGCTATATTTTGAAGCGTAATAGAGCGTTATAGGCGTAATAGTCGGGTCGCAGGTTTTAGGAGTGATTTCCCCCTCGGATTTCAGTCGAATTTCGAAGAATTTCAGTCAAATTTCGATAAATTTGTCAAATTTCGATTAATTTAGGTAAAATTTTGATGAACTTTAATGAATTTCAGTGAATTTTACATGTTTGATGAATTGTGGTGATTTGGCTGGTGTTATTTGCCCTTGTTTTTAGCAGTGCGCCCGCGCCTGGACGAGGCTGGTGGAGGCAGCAGCGCGGCCGGCCGGCGGGTGCGTTTGCCTTTGCCTTCCTGCGGCCATGGCTGCGGCGCCGAGAGTGACAGTGAGTGATGCCGCCTGGTCCGCACACTGGCTAAGGGGAAGGGGGGGGGGGAGCTTAAAAGTGCAAAGTCAGTGCCAAGCTCGAAGCTAGTCCGCGGCGCGCCGCGACGGCAATGAACCTCCTTCTTTCGCGGCTCGAAGGCCCAAAGCAGCAGGCCGCGCGAATCGGCTTAGCGAAGGAGGGAGACGGGGACGCGGCCAAGCAGGCAAAGCGCCGCGCGACGCTGCTGGCTCGGTGCCGTTCGGCTTTACCAGTGGCGGATCCAGAGAGTCAGCCATTGTGGGCTGTAAGCAGTCGTTTTTGACTACTTACAGGGGCAAAGTATGGCCATTTGCCTGACTTACAGGCGGTTATGTGCATGGAAGGACTCGATCCTGGTTTTCCCAGGACCGTCCTGGTTTCTCCTACGCCAAATGTAGGAAAACGAGGACCGGGTCTTACCGCGCGTGTGGGCCTGAGATGGTGGCGACAACCCCTTTGCACCCACGCCTGGCTTCACTGCACTAGAAAATGAATGTTATATTGACTAAGGGTAAGATACATAGGGACAAAAGTCTTTACAAGGAGTCAATTTTGATGGTGGGGCAGTTTGGGAGTGCCGGTGACCGCCGAGGGGGAAATCACTCGCGTAATAGTCGGGTCACCCATTCCTACTATTACGCGTAATAGTAATAGCGTAATAGCCAAGTTTTTAAAAATTTTCCCTATTTAGAGTCTGATTTTAGCCTAAATCTGGATATTTTCGAGCGTAATAAGCCTTCTGTAATAGCGTAATAGAACGTAATAGGGAGTAGTCGGGTCACAGTTTTTAAGAGTGATTTCCCCCTCGGTGACCGCAATGTTCACTCAGGCGCAACGCGTCTTGAAAAGACTCCCTCGCGGCAGGGAAGTGCGGCCGGGGCCGAATTCCGGCGCCGTGAGTGCAGAGCTCTGGCGGCACGGACACATCCGTGGAGCGTGCCCTGAAAGGCTGCCCTCCAAGGGGACGCTCTCCTTGGACCCTTTCGCCAGGCGATTTCGAAGCCTCGTTTCGTCACTGGGTGCGTCTCTCTCGCACCTCCGCGGCTCGCCCCGCGGGTGCGACAGAGACAGAGCGACGGCACGGCTCTTCGCTGAAGGATGACCAGGCGTCCGCGCGGCGCACATGGCGCACGTGCGGGTCCGGCCGCCTCGGGGCACCGCACGGGCACCGCGAGCAAATTCGCGAATTCGCAACACCTCCGGCTGGAGAGACGCGGAGAGACGCCGAGAGGCACGACGAAAGGGAGACGCGAGGGCGGAGCGCGGCGCCGAGGACATCAGGGGGGGGGGCTCTCGCCAGAGCGACAGCAGATTGATAGGCCTGCGCTTTCCTCCGGACCAGCGACTAGCGAAGACCGGCGCAGGCGGCCAAAACTCTAGACGCGTTTCCAGCTCCAGAGTCGCTAAACAGGACTCAAACCGAACGTGTGACCCCATCGATAGATTGCTCGTTCGGAGACCAATCGTAAGTCCATTTAGCGGCTCGAGCTCAAAACGCGTCCGGGGGCCGCCTCCACAGGTCTCCTGTTGTTCCGGCCCACTGTGTGCCGGCAGAAGGAAGACCGGGAGTAAGAGCAATTGAAACAGCGAAGATCGACCACGAATACGGCGGTCGGCGTCGAGCACCGAAGGACTCCACGAAACAGAAATGAACCACATCGGCACGGGTCTGCGAGGCACAGAGCTGGATTTTCAGCACAGGCGCGGATACAAGGTCAAGAGGGCAGGGTTTTTTGCCCCTGCCCTCCCCCATCGCACCATGGTAGGCAAAAAGCCGTGCGTTGCTCCTACAAGTGCGGAAAAAGTGATGCTTTGCTACTCCGCCACTGTTTCAACAACGGCCACTCGCTGTAACCTAGCCGTTTGATGAGCACACAGGGGCGCCGCTTTCGTCGCTAAATGCAAAACGTAGACAGTGCACTTACTTCTGCTGGCGTGCGACGGCGGCGGCGAGGCCGTGCCGATGCCCGACTCGTGGCCCTCGGCCTCGGCGTCCTCGCGTCCCCACGGCCTCTGCTCGGCGCGCTCGGCGGCCCTGCCCGACGACCGCGCGGCCCTCGCGGCCCTGGCGCGCAGCACCGGCGACTCCGGCGGCGTGGGCGAGTGCGAGTCCCCGCCCGCCGAGTCCACCGAGCTCAGGCAGTCGTCCGTCGACGCGCTGGTCGCCTGCCGCGGCCGCGCGTCCAGGGCGCCGTCGGCACCGCGACTGCAGCCTCGGCCTGACGAGGACGACGACGACCTGGGGGAACAGAAGCACACTGGTAAAACTGAAGCGAAGCACAACTTTGTTTCCAAGATGGTTGCCTTCTGAGGTGTCACACAGTGGGCCAGAGGACCGGCGGCGGCGGCAAAAACTCTAGCCGCGTTTTGAGCGCAGTCACTAAACAGGACTTGAACCGAACGTGTGACATCATCCATGGATTGCTCTCCGAACGAGGAATCCATTGGCGGGGACACATGTTCGGTTCGAGGCCGGATAAGTGACACTGGAGCTCAAAACGCGTCTTGAGTTTTTGCCGCCTCTGCCGGTTTTCTGGCCCACTGTAGGTCGACGAGCTTCCTCCTGATTGGACCACTCACCGGTCATCCTCGGACAGGGAGCCGGGCGTGTCCGGGGTGTCGGGCAGCGGCAGCGACGAGCAGTCCGACACCCAGGTGAAGGACGAGCTCCTGGACAGCGCGGGCGACGTCTGCGTGCCCGCGTCAACGGCCACCAGCTCCACGGCGGTGGGCGCCACGAAGCAGCCCTGCTCGCCCAGGCCCTCCGGGGCCTCCAGGCGGAGCGGGAAGGACGGCGGCCGTTCCGGCGCGTCCAGGGGGCTGCCCGGCGTGGTGGGCGTGTTGGCGGGCGTGGTGGAGTCCTTGGGCAGCTTGAGGCTGCCGTGCCGGCTGGTGGGCCGCAGCTTCTGCAGCAGGTTGTGCAGCGCCAGGGGCAGCTGTGGCAAGGATCGGAGTCAGCGGCGAGAAAATAGGATGCTTCGATGAAGAGCTCGGTGGAGATCGAGAAGAAATCAAAGGAAAGTATGCGAAACTCGTTAGAAAGAGTCACGGCGCGGCGTCGCCGTTCTGCCGATACCACCAGCTATATTCTCATACGAGTCCGGCTTTCGTTCTTCTTGATTCAACCTCAACTTCCGGTCCAGCCCTTCTCCGAAGTACCCATTGAATTCACAACCAGGTGCACCCCAGCGCGGCGAGGCGCTGGTTTCCGCGGTGGCGTCCTTACCCCTCCGGTCTGCGTCGGCACGTCATCCTCCGTGATGAGGTCCGGCCCGGCGGACTTGACGGCGGCCCTCTTGAGGCTGGCGCGCCTCTTGACGGCCACCTCCTCGCGCACGGGGAGCAGGTCGCCGCCAGAGCCCGGTCGGCGCCGCAGCGGCTGCCCCGCCGTGGCCGCGGCGAGGGTCTGGCGAGGGCGGCGGGCCCCGCGGGCAGCGTGGCGGCCCTCTTGGCGGGCAGCAGGTCCGGCAGCGCGGTGCGGCACGCGGACCCCGGCGGCGCGGACAGCGGCCCCAGGTAGTCGTCGTCCTCGGGCAGCGGCGTGATGCTCACCAGCACCGCGTCGTCGTCCACCGTCTTGCGGCGCAGCCAGCGCGACCGCAGGCGGGGCTCCTCGGGGGGCGGCGTCGGCGACGTGCACGGCGACGACGCGCCGGACACGGGCGCGGACATGGACCGCGACCCCACGCGGAAGCGCACCATGTCGACGGCGTCCACCTCCTCGCCGTCGCTGGCCTGCTCGAGCGCGAGCGCGGCGAGCTCCTGCACGATCAGGTCGTGGAAGTCGGCGAGCACATCGTCGGACCAGTCGCCCGTCACCACGGTGTCGGTGTTGTAGCGCCGCGACGCCCGGCCGCGGCGACTGCGCCGCTTGTTGTTGCTGAGGCGGCGCGGCGGCGAGGCCTCGCCGTTGGACAGCACCACGTCGGGGACGTCATCGGCGTCCTCGGCCCGGGCTCCGGCCAGAAGCAGTCTGGTCCGGGACGACCGTCTGGGTGGCGGCTCCGGCGGCGGCGGTGCCGGGGCGGCGATGGGGGCGGCCGCCCGTGGCGAGGCTGCCGTCTGCTGCCATTCCTCGAACACCTCGCCGATCTCGAGCTCCGCCTGCAACAACGGGAAAAGCCGTTGACATCAAAACAATCCTATCCGTTCGAGTCCGGGTCCGGGTGGGTTCGATCCCGTTCAGTCCTGCTAGGACTCCAAGTCCTGGCAAGGACTCTACGAAAGCGGAGCCAACCATCGTGAAAAATGGCGTTTCCGCCACGCAGCGTCGTGGGCCGCGAGATGGCGGAGGAAATCGAGGCCGATTAATAAACACTCCAAAGCCAAAGCGACGCGGGCAGCGGAATGAATGGCTAACAAGACGCTCAGCCAGCCCTCCTTCGACTCGGCGATAACAATTAGCCATGATGGACGCACTTTCATTACAATGCACACCCCTCTCCCGACACACACACACACACACACACACACACACACACACACACAGTGCATACACGCACATGCATGCGCGCAGTGCACGACCTTCTTAATACCGCGAGACAGACAACAACACATGACGGCGCCCACATCGACAAGCCCCATGATTCACGCACTGATTCTGAAATGTTAAATAATGCAGCCCGACTGGCTGCCTTGCTGCCTGGCTGACCGGGCGCCATAACGGCCGATTATTAGAATAACGCGGCGGCCTTTTATGCATCGCGACGCCGGACGCGCCCAGCACTTGTTGCGACTAATCGGCGGTCGCAGCAAGACATTGGCAAGCGTCACCGCGGCGGTCACTGTAAATTGATTCCAGACGCACCGCTGGGCGGCACCGAACCACCGGCTCACTTTTCACGAGATGGATCGATGACTTAGTGTGGGAAAGCCGTGGGGCACGCGGCCACTTGTTCCGAGACCGATAAACTTCAGACTCCTGACTGTCGGCTCGCTGGCGCGGGTTCAACTCCCGACGGGAGCGTCGCCGCGAGCGGACTGTCACTTTACTTTAGTTACGGCCGACGGTGGGTGTTTAAGAATGAAACGTGTGCACCGTTCGTCAAGATCCCAAAGGTCGACTTTGAGGAGCTCTACTGATGGCCAAAAACTACACGTGAAAACCATAGCAGGTTTTTTTCCCGTTTTGAGGCATTGTAAAGAACTTAGTTCTGCAACTTAAGTTTTTCAAACGAAGGTTTCCGAAGGTTTCACTACAGATCGTTGCCACTTTAGTAAACTCAATGAGAAGTATAATAATATAATAATGTGAAATAACTCAAAGCTCAAGTAAAGTGTGTACAGGTTACATTCCCAATTTGAGTACTTAAGTTGAGTGGGCAACAACTTGAATTTTAGTGTACGTACATTTCCCGTGCAATGAAGTTAACGTTGAAATAATGTAAAATGACATGGAAGATAACGTCGAAGAGACGTGATATAACCTGAGTGTGAGATCTTTAGTACATTCTGAGCGCACTCCCCAATTGACAGCGATATTTTCATACCAGTGACGAGCCAAACGAGCCCCGGAACGGACCGTTGGTGTGTGCACTGTGAGGCGCACTGCCCCGCGGCCGACCGGCCCACCGGCCCCGTCCAGCGCGTTATTGATTTCCGCTCTGGGAATTAACATCGCCGCTCATAAAAGAGGACGCGGCGCCAAAATGAGAATTTCGCGAAGCGAACAAAGTGCCGAGCGGTGCGGAGAGAGAGAGAGAGAGAGAGAGAGAGAGAGAGAGGCGGGGGAGGGGGCGGTAGAGCACGCCGCTTCAGTATCAAGTCGCATGCTCCGTCCATTAAGCCTCCATCAGCTATAAATTGGATGTCGCTGCGACACCGTCCCGCCCTGGCCGGCCAGGGCAGCGCGTCGCAGCAGGGGCCGTCCCGCTGATCTGCCGTGGGCGTGCGGCGTGCCGTGCGGGCGTGCCATGCACCGGCCTGTTCCGCCCGCCACGCCCGGGCGCTGCGCTGCGCGACGCAGCGTCGATGCACAAGGCCTCGCCTCGCTGATGGGGATAACTCAATTTCGTTTCCATTATGCAGAGTGCTTCATTATGGACGGGGCAGCTTCGTTCATTTGGACAGGATCGCCGGGCGCGGCGTGGGCGGCGGGGAGCGGCCCTCGGGTTGACACCGAGTAGTACCACATCAAACGGAGGGCGCGACCCGGAGCCTGCGTTTCCATTGCCCCGCCAGAGTGGCGTTGCAGTGCGCGCCGATCAATAGAACAACAGGCAACGATTTGCAATCCAAGCAGACCCTGATGTTACTCGTCGCCGAATGAAGAACGAAAGTAATAGAGAACCAGCATTGCAAAACTGAGTGAGATACAGAAATCGTACAAAGGAACTTAGTGAGTAGTTTTCTGCTTTAGCGAGCGAAAGGAAGACTAAAAAAGAAATAAAATGGAAAACTGTTCGCTTTCTTTTAGCAGCTGCTCCCTTTTGAGATAAAATCATTGTCGGGCAAGGGCACGCCCTGCCATTGTCCTTTCTTGCTCGTCTTTGAAGGTGAACCTGCGATGATGAGTCCCGCCGTTTCAGCCAGGGCGTCCACACTCTAAAAGTTGTATTGTGAAGATTCTCTATGTTATGGTGTAAATTTTCTACATTATGGTTAAAATTCTCCATATTTCGGTGGTGCAGCTGACTTAATAACATACCATTGACAATTTACTCTACCTAAAAGATATTTATACGACTTTCATTTGTATTTTGGAGAAAATCTTCACCATAAATATGGTGGGGCAGCCTTTCAGCTTAAGACATTAGAGTGCATCTACGCACACTAAACTTCTTACGGATACGTCCTATCTGTATTACGGACATTTTTGTGCAAATGCAATTACGGATAGATTTTGCTTGTAATACGGATGAAATCATCCGTATTACAAAGAGTTTTACGTCCGTACCATACGGATATTTTCGTCTGTATGTTACGGACGTAAAACTCTTTGTAATATGGATGATTTCATCCGTATTACAAGCAAAATCTATCCGTAATTGCAATTGTACAAAAATGTCCGTAATACAGATAGGATGTATCCGTAAGAAGTTTACTGTGTGCTTTTGTTTTGCCGGTGTGCCCTTTGACCCGGAGGCATAAGATCCGTCCATCGGAGGGAGGAGTGTGTGAAGCGGAAGCGTTGCGCAAGGCGAGGCCTGGTAGGCCTCGGCCCTTGTCGCCCCGGACCGCGCCCAGCGCCCCGCCCACCTGCGCTGCAGCTCTAGAGGCGCTGCGGTTCGCTCCGGCCGGCCGACGCGTCGACAGCACAGCAGCCTAAGTAGACTGCCACACACTGCCGGCCCACACCTCGCGGCAGGCGCCTTGCTGCAGCGGGCTGAGCTTTCGCCGCGCCGCGTTGAGGTCCGGTCACTTGTGTGTGTGTATGTGTGTGTGTGTGTGTGTGTGTGTGTCTTAACTTGACATAACTTGAACAGCACCCCAACACGCACTCTCAATATCTATATACAATACACTGAGAATCCAAACGTTGAGTAAAGCGTCAATTGATGCAGCAACGCAAAAGCATTGCACATGAAGAGCAATGCCTCCCCACTCCTATGCATTAGAATAGGGCATTTTCGGGACGCATTGCAGGTGCAATATGGCCAGTGACATAGCACGTATGGTGCGATATCTCAGTGCATTGCGCAATACGTGCTATATTCATAGCCTTTGGAATCTCAGTGTATTTCCCACCAACTGGAAACAATTTTTTGCATTACCCAATCTGGTAAAAACATTGTAAACGGCAAGCAACAACTTTGTCATCAAGTAAGCGGTACGAGATAAGCTTAGACCGGATTGTTTTCAGATGGCAACAACAGCTGTTCATAGACATTTACTGTGCGGGTGGAACCTCCCAAAAAGCTTAATTTATCTTTGGCAAACTTTCAATGAATGTCTCTGTTGATTCAAATAAAGTTCCAATGTTCCTATTGCAAGTCAAATAACGTTCTTCGAGTCCAGGTAATTCAAGAGCATAATTACTGGGTGAGGGAGGTCATATCAAGTGGGATTTCATCAGGAGCTCGCAGATCGGGAAATGGAGGATATCCTCGAAGAAATCTAATCGGACTGAAAGCTGAAATGGCAGCAGTGGGCGGTGCTTCTCTCGGCCCGGGGGAAGTCCCCGGCAGTGTCTAGCCTCACACCAGGGCCGAGGTACATAGTCCCAGCATCTCCATCCGCGCCCCCCGCCGCTGGCCTGCGCGTCGCTGTTGGTCGCTGCAGACTGATTTCGAGAGTCGTTTTCGTCGCTTCGTCTCTCTCACACCTGTAGGGATCGCCCCATGAGTGCGAGAGAGACAGAGCAATGGAACCGGCTTTCGGAGTCAGTCTGCTATGCGTCGCTGCGCTGCCTCCGGCCGAGTGAGTCCCAAGACACTGCAAGACACGAACGGGTGCAGCGCCGCGCATGGAAACTTGTCGCGCGCTGTGTAAGGCACGGCGGCACGGCACTTTGCACGCCGCTTGCCGCGGTCTGCCGCCATTGGCCGACCGGACGCCTTATTGCAAAGAAGAAACAACGCCGTGACGTCTATCTCAGCGACGACGCGGCCGCGAGGCGGGGGCGAGCACTTTGTTCTTGTTCTTGCAAATATTGACCAAACTGACCAAACCCACCTCTGTGGAAGCATACGCACAACAGTTTTCAAGCTCGTTCAAAACCACGGCAATGTTTACAATGGACTTTTTTTTAGAACCGCCTGGGAACAGTTTTGTGCATCACCAACGTCCAAACTGTGCCAAACTTACTGTTAGCAAATTTTACTGTGTGGCTGGTTCAAATTTAGTCACCAGATTTCTTAATGCTGGAAACTGTTTCCAGTTGGTTATAAAAGTTGTGCATAGAAATGAAGCGTGAACAGCTCATTAGTTCAAAAAGTGGACGCATAGTCATCGTGATTAGGTGATTGGAATTTGCATTGATTTCGCGAACTGCACTGTGGTTCGATTGTTCGAAATTTCAATCAGATTAAGATTAATCTTCGACGGCGACTCAAGGCGCCCAAGGGTATGGAAAGTGTTTTGACCAGCCGTTTAACACATTCACGACCGGCGGCAGCTCGTAAAGAGGAAAGGGAAAACCGACCGGGAAAAATGAGAAGCCTGCG